ATGTATGTATAAATGTGTTTTTGTCAAGTGTGTGTGTGTGTGTGTGTATGTGTGTGCGTATCTGTTGTGTGTGTGTGTGTGTGTGTGTTTCCCTGTAGAGTATGTGTATGTGCGTGTGTATGTGTAACTCAACAATCACTGTCTTTAACTGACACACTTAAGCTACGATAACAAAAAAGATGGACTCACAATTACCAAAAGTTAGTTTGTTCAAACTTAAGTTCCACTTAAGTGAGTTAAACATTCACTCTTAAATGAGTTAAACATTCACTCTTAAATGTTCAACCCGTAAGTTAAACATTCACTCTTAAGTTAAATATTCACTCTTAAAAAAGTTAAACATTCACTCTTAAATGTAAGTTAAACATTCACTCTTAAATGTTCGTAAGTTAAACATTCACTCTTAAATGTTCGTAAGTTAAACATTCACTCTTAAATGTTCGTAAGTTAAACATTCACCTTAAATGTTCGTAAGTTAAACATTCACTCTTAAATGTTCGTAAGTTAAAGTTAAACATTCACTCTTAAATGTTCGTAAGTTAAACATTCACTCTTAAATGTTCGTAAGTTAAACATTCACTCTTAAATGTTCGTAAGTTAAACATTCACTCTTAAATGTTCGTAAGTTAAACATTCACTCTTAAATGTTCGTAAGTTAAACATTCACTCTTAAATGTTCGTAAGTTAAACATTCACTCTTAAATGTTCGTAAGTTAAACATTCACTCTTAAATGTTCGTAAGTTAAACATTCACTCTTAAATGTTCCTTAAGTTAAACATTCACTCTTAAAAAGATGTGAGAACATATCTACCAGACTCGCTTAACGACATAAAAGTAGAAGTCTCAAATGTTTTTACGTTAAATATTCAAGTGAGATGTGAGATAACTACCTTATTAAAGCTACGACATAAAGGTGGATTCTCAAAGGACCTTATATCACATTTCTCTCTTTTTCGTTGTATAAGTAAGATTGATCTAGCAAAAGAAATTTACTGATCTTCCCGGATTTTCATTTCAAATTTCAATTCCCTCAAATGCATCCAAATTGAGAACTAGACAATACAGTTCAAGGACACATACTGTACACATCATACAGGGTTGTAATACAGTAAAGTGGTTCAAGCTGACTGACTGTGCTCGATGGTGTGAGGTGAGTTGCATACCAGACACGTGAAGAATGGTGTTACAATGGAGGCGATAACTAAAGTCTCAAGGCTGCCACGAGAGAGAGGAGAGGAGAGAGAGAGAGAGAGAGAGAGAGAGAGAGAGAGAGAGAGGAGAGAGAGAGAGAGAGGAGAGAGAGAGAGAAGAGAGAGAGAGAGAGAGAGAGAGAGAGCTGACCAGAATCCACAATCGCCACTGTGATTGGATTGTGGTTTTCACAAGTGAATTTTTCCAAGAGCCGGCCGAGCCAGCTGAAGCTAGCTGGGGGAGGTGGAGGGGGCGATATAGCTGTAGCTGCCACGGATCTATAACTTCCTTTAGCCGTTGGTCTTAAGTCTTGCCCGAGGTTTTAAAGTATTAAAGTAATTAATACAAAATACAGTACTAAGCTTGGGGTCGTATACATACTGTATATGTATAAATGTAAATACATAGATATCTCTATACATACGGGCAAGTTCACATAAGTATTACGTACCGTATACAGGAACATACACAAACTTACGTACAGCATACAAACATACTGTATAACAGTATAAGCTCTCTCTACACACACACACACACACACACACACACACACACACACACACATTTTTCACCCGAATTCAAAATACTTGAAAACGTCTCTTCATGAATAGAGTTGTTTTTTGTTTTTTTCAACCAGCATATTGAACTCTGTACACAGAAAAAAGCTCCTCTTGTAAACACTTCATGAATGTTTATACTCGTCTCCAAGAGTAAAAACATTAAACAAGAAAAATACCAACATACCCCACAAAACGTTCAGTGACAATTCTGCTGCAGGTAAGACCATCACAATCCTCTTTTCTTCACGTGGAAAATCGCGGGAGTTGAAAATAAATTACGATATTCGGCAAATGGCAGTCTAGGGAATTAAAATCTAAGAACACTTCACGCACTCTCGAACGCAGCCGAGGTGAATGCTGATTGGTGGGGCGGGTGGAGACAGGGAGGCTGCAGACCAATGAGGAGCGGCTGAGACGTGTAATCCCGCCAAAGTGTTGATGGGTCAGTAACCCGCGTAAATTTAATCTTGGTCGTAGCTCCATGGCCGCTATGTCGAGTTTATGTGTTTATGTACGCTCCGGAATCATGTTGGCCAGGCTAAGACACATATAGGTATACAGTACATACATACATAATTACACTCACCTGAGGAGATTGGCATTTTCGAAGACATAGCCTACGTTTAAAGTGAACAAATAACCTACACTCATTCCTTTATAAACTACTGGAAAATAGTAGACACGCAAGTACACACACATACACAAAAAAAAATATCACAAACACACACAAAACATTATATCAGTCAGGTCTGAAAAGGCGGGTATCAGGGTGAATTAATGCAATAGAAAATAACTGATAACGTATTGACACATTCACTAAAGATATGCAAGTTTTTTGTTCTAATCTGTTGGTGTGTAATAATAATAATAATAATAATAATAATAATAATAATAATAATAATAATAATAATAAACTCCATGAAAGACAATGTGAAGGAATTAACTTACGATTTATCATTCAAGTAAGATTCGTCAAGGTTAGACCATCCTTACTCGAGTTAACTTACTTTACCATTGTCCGTGTACTTGCTTTGTAAACCTGCACTATCTATGTACACACTGCATACCTGTACTATGTATACACGATTAAAAAAAAGTATCTTATCACGAGTTGTATTGATCATTTTGAAATTCATGGGACCTATCCAGGAAGATGTTTTTTTTTTACTATCTATCTATCTATCTATCTATCGACTCGCATCTATCACCGAGTACATTTGCACGATCATGGCAGAGTTACTATTTGCTGCAATGGCGAGATACAGTAGTTTGCGATAAAAGATCTGACAGACACACATTACTCGACAACATATATATAACTCACTCTCTTCCTCCCCCTTTCTCTCTCTCCCTGCTTTCTTTTTTTTCTATCTCTCTCTCTCTCCTTTCCTTCCTTCCCCCTTTCTCTCGTTCTGCCTCCTCTTTTTCTCTCCCTCTTCCTGTCTCCCTTCTTCCCTCTCTCTCCCTCTTCCTTTCCTCCTCCCCTTTTCTCTTCTTTCTCCCCCTCCCTTTCTCTCACTCTCAAACTCACCATTTCTCTCCCCCTCCCTCTTTCTCTCACTCTGTCTACCTCCCCCTTTCTCTCCCTCCCTCTTTCTTTCTCTCTCTCTTTTTTCAAATTGTACAGCTATCCTAACGCTATCCTCTATCGAATGAAGTGGTGAACGTTACGATATCAGGGCGTTATGGTGATAGGGGTGATATACTGATAACGTGATTGTCTCTAAATAACGCAATTGTCTCTAAATAACGCAATTCTCTAAATAACGCAATTGTCTCTAAATAAAGTAATTGTCTCTAAATAACGCAATTGTCTCTAAACAACGTAATTGTGTCTAAATAACGCAATTGTCTCTAAATAAAGTAATTGTGTCTAAATAACGCAATTGTCTCTAAATAAAGTAATTGTCTCTAAATAACGCAATTGTCTCTAAATAAAGTAATTGTCTAAATAACGCAATTGTCTCTAAATAACGCAATTGTCTCTAAATAACGCAATTGTCTCTAAATAAAGTAATTGTCTCTAAATAACGCAATTGTCTCTAAATATAGTAATTGTCTCTAAATAACGCAATTGTCTCTAAATAACGCAATCGTCTCTAAATAACGGCAATTCTGCCTCTAAATAACGGTAATTATCTCTAAATAACGTAATTGTCTCTAAATAACGTAATTGTCTAAATAACGTAATTGTCTCTAAATAACCGTAATTGTCTCTAAATAACGTAATTGTCTAAATAACGTAATTGTCTCTAAATAACCGTAATTGTCTCTAAATAACGTAATCGTCTCTAAATAACGGCAATTCTGCCTCGAAATAACAGTAATTGTCTCTAAATAACGTAATTCTGTCTGTAATTGTCTGTAAATAACGTAATTGTCTCTGTAGCTTTAAGTGGTTAATGTTTTGTTATCGTAACATCCTCAACATGTAATTGCCTTAACTGTTCACTATCATAAGTGGTTAACAGTACTCAATCCGTCATTAATTGTGTTTACCGTGTTCTGTTCAATGAGAGAGAGAGAGAGAGAGAGACTGTGACCTTGGTAACACCAGAACTCGATAGCAAAGGTATAACAGCAAGGGGATTAATATATTTACCCATCTACATATTTACTTTTATATCTACATATTTACTTTTTTATCTATCTATCTATCTATCTATCTATCTATCTATCTATCTATCTGTCTGTCTGTCTTAACGGGAAAGAGGTAAGTATGGGGGAGGGAACAAATAAAATAACAGAAACTAAAAGAATTCTGGAATCGAAAACTGCTGGAATCGGTAGGACCTGGCCTCAACTTGGAACTGTGATCGGTTGGGTTGGAATCGAAGACTTGGAATCGATAAAATCCAAAGTTTGGTGGGAAATGGAATCAGTAAGACCTAGAATCAGCAGGAATTGAAATCACTAAGAGGTGGGAAGGAGGATTACTGGGAATTTGGGTTATGTGGCGTGGTCAGTAGTGGTTCTGACCTCGTGGTGGAGAGAGAGACTTACTAACTGGGAGGAACTCTGAGAAATCCTTCCATACCACCAATAGGTTATTTTGGCTGTTTATAAGCACACTTACATGTCATTACAATATTTTAAATTATTAACTATAAATGTATTTAAAGGTTGACTATACATATTCAACAAGAAAATTATTTGTGGTAACTTAAGACTGAATCACGATGGCCACCTGTAAGAAAAAATGCTTGAAGGATGAATAATTTCTTATGGTTACTTATAATCATACTCACTGGATAGGTAAGAGGATAGGTTCCCTGGCCGGGTGGTTGAGTAGGTTGGGATCCCAGGCCAGGGACTTGAGGCTGCTAGGCCCCCTGCCCAAAGGCTCCAGCCGTCCGCCATGGCCAAGACTGATGCCTGGTAGCGGGGCAGAGTGAGGCAGTGGCTGGACCAGGCTGCTATTCGCATTGGTCAGTATACTGATCTTGCTCACTTTACTCCTCATTGATGCCTCCCACTGCGTCAGGACATTCTTATACGAGGTGATGATAGTCTCCGTTCACGTGAACAATGTCTCCCCGGATACATGACGTAAGGAGAAAAAGTTCACGTTTCTTCCTCACAAGAGATTTTCTACAATTTTCTCGTACACATATATTATCACCACATAATTTGTTTAGTGCTCTTACCATTTTTTTCTTTTTCGTATTTAAATTTGATGCAAATGAGGAGTATTTCGTCTGTGTTGCCTCACGTTCGACCACCCACGGCGTCATGTTGATGCCTTGCGTCCCCGTCATGGCGGCCGTGTGTGTACTGAAGGAGTCATGATGAACCCTTGACTTATATATATGCCTCACTCATTTTCTTTTCACTCCTATTAATTACTATGTATTACCATGATCTGATTAACTTTCACTGTCGCGATTACCAGCATCTTGGACGTACAGCAACATGAGAAAAACATCGTTTATAAAGTTAGTAAACTGTTAAATGAGTGTTACTGACCGTCGACTTCACAAGCGGCGTTGTAAACTGCACATAATTCATATATTCATTATATTTCTGTCAAGCGCAAGGCGTTATTTCTTCAGCGAATATTGCACCATTATCCAGATTAACATGTCTCCGTGAGCCATTTACTGAAATAAATGAAACTTTTTCTCACACGTTGACAAAACTTCGGCACTTAATTACTTTGGCCAGAATAATAAATCTTCGGCATTAGAAACTGCCGTTCTTTCCAACCCTGAAAATTTGTCGGGAAAACAATTCATCTTCTTAGTTTTAAAATAAAATGTTTGGACTTTAGACTACGAGGAACAAACACCACGTAATATTTCCTACAACGCTTCAACTACTTCCACACTGCTATTTAAACCGTTAATAGTTACAGCTACCGCGAAAATATCGATGAAACTAATGAATTTCAGTCAATATTAACATTAATATCATTTTTTTTTCCAAATTAGTTCACAATATATTCAAAGTTTTACAGTAATACATGATTGGTGACTCAACGTTCACAGAATTTCACGTAATCAGCATTATTCTAATTCCACAAACTGCATACTAAAATTTTTATTGATCTGTAAATTACTTGAAGGTTTATGACAACTAACGGTAATCATAGACATGTACCGTATCTCATGATTTGTGATGACGAATGTATTATAAGAAATAAATACAACATCCTGTGCTAAAACTTAACACCTTTGGTACTCTGTATTTATCGATTGTTAATTACTTGAGTGCTAAGAAAAACAAATTATAGTGTACGTAAGTCCCAAACTTTGCATTACGCTTCGTTAGGTTAGGTTGAGTTAACGAGACATCGACCCAGTCATCGTTAAACACCTCCCTGCAGCGGCTATTCTGGGCGTCATGACCGAGCTTCTGACCAATCACAGCGCGTGTTGAAACTTTGGGTACATATTAACAAAAGTTTATTATTGCTCATAAGTCAAGACTTGAAAAGGTACTTAAGTGGTTGAAACAAAAGCTAAAATATAAAAGTAACGTCCAAATATCACATAAATTTTACAGAGATCTTTTCAACTCGATACAGTGTTCACTTATCACCAGTTAGTAGAAACACTTTATAGTACAGAGGAACATTGTAAAATATTCTGCACTTCAATTTTGTTTGAAGTCAATTTCAGCCTAATTTTAGTGGGGTGTTTTTTTTTTTTTTTTTTTTTTCTATTTTAACTATGTCGACCATTTAGGTGCATTGTTACGTCTTCAGGTAGGAGGACTATTCACTGTAAGAACCTTCAGAATATAGCAAGCGCAAATATTCTAACGAAAAAAAAGTAAAATTTAATGTCAAATGATAATTTCATTCTGACTTCCGCTCTCAAATGACTTCCGGTGAAAAGTTAATCAGATTATGTCGTCCAAAAAATCGGCAGAGGATTAAATTAGAGAAATAATTCACACCCAGCGGGCAAACTGAGGCACACCCTGTTGTCAGGTACAGTATCGTACTGTATACACACACCAGGGAAATAACGACGGAACATCATGGTCTGATTGGCGGGTTTGTCAATGAGTAAGGTAGTAGTCAAAATAAAAATGGCACAAGAGAGGTAAAAATAATAATTTATGATGGTAAATTATATTCTCCAAAACTTGTCCCTCCAATGGTTAGCGAATCGACCAATCACAAGCCGTCGTTCCATAAATAAATATATATATATATATATATATATATATATATATATATATATATATATATATATATATATATATATAGAGATGATGGATGAGTATATACACCTGTTGCCCACGGGACAACAAGGGTCCAGTTTACAGGTAAGCGAGTATAGTACAGTAGAGCACAAAATTTCCAAACAGTGTTGCCAAGACTGACAGTTGATTTATATGTAAAACTCTGGTTATACATAAAAGAATTTCTTAGTTGGCAAATTTATCAAGGCTAAAAGTAAAGCCAGCAGCTCTTCGCCTTTAACAATTCCCTTTGAAAATGAAAATTCACGATTGACGATTCCCTTTGAGAGCGTAAAACAAGATTAACCTCTCGCTTTTAACACTTCTCTTTGAAACTGTAGGCTAGGGCATTCTACCCTCTCTCGCTCCAGTGGTGAAAAGATTAAAATTGGCATCTTTTAAATTCTTTATGATTTTTTTAAATTATAATTAATCTGACTCCGTTACCCTAATGCTGACCACATCTTCCATTCTTAAACGTTCATGAGGTAATTTTGTCTCAGATTTGGATGTGTAGAGATATATCTATCAGTTAACTCAACTCTATATTTTATTCTTCCTAAGGCCAGGCGATTATATTCAGCTGAGAGAAACACTTGCTACTCAATAGATTAAGTTACAACACGAAGATGGCATAACCTCTTACAATGGATATGCAAGACCCCATCAAACGTCTGTTTTAAGCTAAGTAAAAAAATACAGATTCCTAAAAGTTCCTACGTTACCTTTTCTTTTAACGGGAGATTAAAAGCATCTAACTGGTTGACTTAAGCTAAGGCATTAAAAGGTTCAAAAGGGCGTTAAATTACACTGTCTCTTTACTTTACCTGATAAGTTTATTCAGTGCCAGTTAGGAGACAAAATTAACGCACGGAATTTTTTGAAATATTATAGCGTGTTAAATGTTGTTCCGGGCGCCACCACAGCCGAGGGTTATTAAACACGATATACTCTGGTCCTGCGGCAGAAGAATTAGAACAAGAAGCTATACCATATAAGTACCTGAACCAAAGGGAACTAATATATGTGTGTGGTAATTTTACAAAACACAGGTGAACAACAGAGGTATTCCCTGGCCTAAAGTGAAAATATATAACTATACACACACCTCACTTTAATTATATAGTATTGAATCTATTTAATTAATTATCAATGGTTAATAAGATGTATAATTACTTATCTACAGACTACGGGCTAAAAGACTTTTGCCACGTTTGTTTTGGTTACACCGGCCGTCAACACGTGGGTCAAGGCCGACGAGAGACTGGCTAAAGCTCAGTAATGATTTATAACAATATTTTAACATTTATGACACTAGTCTTTGTGTTTTTATAAAGTTATTAAAGTTTACTGTCCTCATTATAATAAGTTTTTAACGTTTTCATAATGATATTAAAGGAGGCTCCTGCTTGTATTATCATCATACTTATCCTATAATGAGTCTTATATTAATATAACTGTGGTAGAGGGACGGGGTTTGCTTATAATAACTTCTAATAATGACTAACGTTCATACGGTAATTTTGGAGGAACATTTTCTGTAATGTGTAATTCCTAAAAACGATTATGAAATAATGTTAGTATATGAAAATTAGTCACGTCATGAATAATTAACCTAATTACGAATTAATTTGTTAGCAAATTTACTATTGGATGACCTACATACGAAGGCGTTCATTGGCTGACCTAGAAATGAGCGAGGTTTTACAGCGGCTGCTATTGGTCTAGTTATTCATCGCAGCTTTTAATTGGCACAGGTCACGATTAATTTTGTAAATGTGTAAAGATAATAATAATAATAGTAATAAATTAGTGAGATTAATCCTAGTTTTGTCATTGAAGTGAGATTAATCCTAGTTCTGTCAATGAAGTGAGATTAATCCTAGTTGTGTCATTGAAGTGAGATTAATCCTAGTTGTGTCATTGAAGTGAGATTAATCCTAGTTCTGTCATTGAAGTGAGATTAATCCTAGTTGTGTCATTGAAGTGAGATTAATCCTAGTTCTGTCATTGAAGTGAGATTAATCCTAGTTGTGTCATTGAAGTGAGATTAATCCTGGCTCTGTCATTGAAGTGAGATTAATCCTAGTTCTGTCATTGAAGTGAGATTAGTCAGAGAAGTGGATGATAATCAACAACTACATGAGACTACCTAGGCACCAATGAGTACGTATTTGCAACTCCATGGAGGTAAGATGCTATTGTCACCAGCTAAGCCCTGTGTATGTGTGTGTACAGTATTGTTACTAGTTTCCGATTAAAAGAAGAAGAAAAATGATGATGATGATGATGATGATGATGAAAGAAAGTAAGAACATAGAAAAAGAAAGTTAGAAAAATGATAGAAGAAAAGAAGAGAGGCTTTGACGGCAAAGTGATTCCTTTAACGTCACTACCCAAATAAACGTGGTTAAAACAAATCAAAGAAACCCTCACCCAAAAGTCTAATTAATTAAACCCTCACCCAAAAGTTCACTAATTAAACCTCACCCAAAAGTCTAATTAATTATACTCTCACCCAAAAGTCTAATTAATTAAACCCTCACCCAAAAGTCTAATTAATTAAACCCTCACTTAAAGTCTAATTAATTAAACCCTCACCCAAAAGTCTAATTAATTAAACCCTCACCCAAAAGTCTAATTAATTAAACCCTCACCCAAAAGTCTAATTAATTAAACCCTCACCCAAAAGTCTAATTAATTAAACCCTCACCCAAGTCTAATTAATTAAACCCTCACCCAAAAGTCTAATTAATTATACTCTCACCCAAAAGTCTAATTAATTAAACCCTCACCCAAAAGTCTAATCAATTAAACCCTCACCCAGGTCTGATTTCATTAAGAACGGCCAACGAACATTACTACAATCGTCATGGTGCGGATAAGATAAGATTCCATTTTACACCATTCTTAATACTGTACTGATCTTCGCTCGTTGGGCGTTGAAAGGTCTCTGTCGTCTTAGCTATGAGGGATGGCATTGATTCCTGACAACTGTTCTAGACCTACGCGGATTTTCTATATATTTATAATACACTTTAGATCACCTGAAGATTTGTTCCCCTAGTTTATTTCACCTGAAGATTCGCCCCCTAACGCTACATGGGTTGGGTGAGATTATGTTAGGGTAGCTAAGGGTTAGGTTAGGTTAGGTTATGTTAGGTTGTCGTTAGGATGGATTAATCTTCAGGTGAAATAAACTATGTGGCGAATCTTCAGGTGAAATAAATTAGGGTGTCTAATCTTCAGGTGATTCATGGCACACTATCACTCTTAATAAAATAATAATATATTAAAAGTGTGAAATATTTCAGTAATCCGGTAAAGTAATTCTATCAAACTTTCAATACATTTAGGAAAATTCATCTAAAGGTCTGTTACATATACAAAAATATTCAAGTATTAATATAATCATGTCTTAATGTCACGTGAGTTAATGAGCAAAATGATTAAATAGTTGTTTTAAATATGTTTGTATACTCTTGCAAGTCTTTTTAAAATAATTGTTGAATCTGTGTTGCATAATAAGGTTAGGTCATAAATTTCTAGACTCTTAGGTCAAAGGTCGGTGTAATTAGGCTTTCTCAGTATAATTTTACTTCATAATAATTACATAAAATAACATTACA